GCGGTGACCTGGGGTGGTGGCGGGAATGAAGTGCTAGCCAGTGTACTGCGATGTGTTGCTGGGACTTGGGCCGACGTAAGAAGCCGGCCACGGTATCTGGTCTGACCTTGCTTAACTGCACGATCACATGCTCTCTGGTACGCCCTTTTGGCGCTGCGCGAATATTGCACATTGAGAGGCTGACGAGTCGCTGTTGGGAAGCCACCTAGCTTCGGTGCTGAAGCATGGAGGAAAGCAGAGTAACAAGTGGCACCTCCGGCAACCTCGGTGGCGTGGGTTGCAACCCTCGCTTCTGTCCACAGACCTGCCCATGACGGTTGAAGGCAGACAAGTAGAATCAGAGCTCGCATGTGCATGGTAAGTGGACCCTGGGAATTGGGACCCAGCCGGCTCATGGAATGTGAGGAAGGGCTCTGCAGTCGATGTTGGGGAGGCCGTGCACATAGTGAAGGAGCAGGGTGGAAAAGCTTTGCCCAGTGAAGCAAGTGCACCAGCAGACAGGCCTGGGCCCAGCAGAGGTAGAGCGTAACATGCTGCCTGCCGAGTTGGCCAAGGAAAAGACACAGTTCTGCCAGGTGCCAAGCAAGTGGACACTGCAGGGTAACACTGGCCTGGGCTCCGAAAAGTGCAGAAGGCATGGAGGAGGCAAAGGTGTACCTGCATTGCGGCCACAGGTCATCGGTCCGCTCTGGGCTTTGCTGGCGGTCAAGTGAGTGCACTAGCCATGTGACAGCCCTCTTCGCACAGGTTTGAATTTTCCAGGCAGGCGCAGAGGGAAGAGAGTAATCCGGGCCAGCTTTGGCAGATGTCACAACAGCGACACTGTACAGCCCTGGCTTTGCTGTCAATTGCCTTTTTGGCTGTGGCACAGAGCCCTGAGTGAGGCAACCTGAGCGGGCAGTCTGTGCATTCAGGACTTGGCTGGCTGTGTCAAATGAGGCAATGCTGTATGTGAGGAAGGGGACGGGTCGGGCAGGACTAGAGGTCACAGGTCCTGAAAGTGTCACCCTGGATCCCACGCACTTCGTCCCATCTGCCCGCCTGGTGTCGGGTGGAGGTCTGCTAGATCGAGAGCGCGAACGTGAGGCCGAGCGAGTGCTTGGGCTCGACCTTGAGGGTGAGATAGGAGGCGTCGATGGCCTTCTGCTTCCACTGGCAGGCTCACCAGAGCCCAGTGCCCCTTGTGCTGCAGCTCGTCTACGACGAAATTCGGCCTTGGTCGCCTCGAGACAGGCCTCAGCCTCTGTGAGGTTGAACTGCTCACCATCGCACTCATACAGGCCTCCTTCCCTATTGCTTGGTGGGTCCCAAGCTGGATCTCGAACACGGACTGGAGGTCCAGGCACAGGTGAGGGAGGCTCTGACAGCTCTTCTGTATTCCACACCTCATCGTCTTCCTCCGAGGCTGATTCGGCATTCTCGTGGGGAGGATCACCGTCCATAGACCCAATGCCAGCGGCATCTCAAAGAGTTCGTTGTCGACATCCTGGAAGTCGATTCTCTCACCAGCCTCGTCTACCTTGTCAGCCTCCGACAAAACCAGGCGGACCGCCCTCCAGGTGTGAATTTCCCGTAGGGTATGCGGTGCCTCCAGGTATACAGGTCCTGTCAGCTGCAGGTGTTGCATTGCATTACATGCCAGGCTTCGTCTCCAATGCGCTCCTGCCAATGTGCCCTCCCCAGGCATGACTCCCGGCAGAGCCCTTATCGGTCTTGAAGCAGGATCAGTCCCAGCCGGGTAAACGTACATCGGTACTGGTGGCGGAGGTCCGAATGGGCCAGGGCCCCGATCAACACTCGGAGATCTATCTGCAGCTGCACAAGCCGCCGTGAGGGTTGAAAAAGCAGAGCCAGTAGAGCCATCCTCCGAACCGGACCCCACATGTGCACCGGTGTCAAGGGAGGCATCTGCGCCTGCTTCTAGCACAGCTTCCTCCAGGGCGCTGTCATGCAGTGGATCCGATCTGCATGAGCCATTGTGGGGTGTCGGTCTGTCCACGACAGCACCAGAAGGCAGGTTAGGGATCTAAACCGAAAAGTCCTAAGGGGAAGGTGAACAGGAGCTCGGACATCAACCCGGGAGGCTCTAGGGGTACAGCTTCTGAGGGTGCATCCAAAGCTGCGGCATGAAGCGACACTTGTGCTGCCGGCACATATCCGAGGGCAGACGCTGTGCAGAAGCATGCTGGACAACAAACTGCCGAAGGCTCCTAAAGTATCGGTGATGAGCCCAACGAAGCCCCTCAAGATACCTTAAGAAGGCGCACCAGTCGAGGATGGCAGCATAGAAGAAGTCGAGCCACACAAGTCCTCTAACCTGCGGTAGGTTTGGTTTGGGTTTCCGGCGTCGGTACCTCTGAGATCTCGGAGCCTGCCGTTTAAGCTGTCGCCTGCTGAACCATCTACCTGGGCATGGTGATTTAGAGAGAGTCCGGCCACTATCTGGTTCATACAGATGCATGTTCCTGAGTAGCCAGCTAGTCCAGTGTATCCAATGCCAGGACGCAACAGCATAGCTTGCCAATACACCACGGGGTCCACAAATCATGGGCCATGGCTGGGTACAGTTCTTTGCACCAGCGTTGGACCATTGTAAAGTCCGGCACATACAGGGAGGCAGTGGCAGCATACACAACTTGTTCTGGGTCATGGTTGTACCATCGCTGCTCAAAGGCATCAAAGTACCTGTGGTGAACTCGATACCCGCCTGCCCTGTCAAACATGGCCAGTAATACAATCCGAAGAAAGTGTCCCCGAACCCTGCTGTCTTGGCGGAGCTCCATTGCTTTGCGCTGGCATACTGAGCAACACGTTGTTCTCGCATGCTGTCTCCAGTCATGAATCTTGTTGCAGCCATGCTGAAACCCAAGAAAGACACAAGGATCAGGGTCAGAAAGAGCAAGGGATGCTGCCATGGCTTACGGGCTGCCCCGCCCTGCAGCTCCAGCTGTGTTTCCTTGAAGTCCTGGGGCCTGCTAGAGGGCTTACGTTCGCAAGGGGAGCCCCAGAAAGTTGACAGCATCGCCCCGCAACACAGTGAGCCGAGAAGCTTCTACTACTACTACTCCTGCTACTACTACTACTACTACTACTACTACCACCACAACGCCAAAAACAACGACAAGTACTACTACTCCTGCTACTTCTGCTGCTACTACTGCTGCTGTTGGTACTGCTACTACCACCACCACCACCACGACTACTACTACTACTACTACTGCTACTACTACTATGGATTGTTTCCTGCTGTGTCATGTGCGAGGGGGAAGCTCTGAAGCATTTTGTTTGGTCACGAAGGCCTTTGCTGAGAGCTCAGTTGTCAAATCTGCTTCGCAGAGATTGGAAGTTCCTGTGTCATAGCTGCTGAGGAGACGTTGTCGAATCCCTCCGAGCGGAGCCTGTATGACAGAAGCCTGGAGGGCGATGCCAACTACAAAACCGGAGGCACCATCCTTACACACATTACGAAGTGGTGCATTCGGCTTTTCGAGCTCAAGTCTTGCAGGTTCAAGTAACAGCAGATGCAAGCGGCGTCCGACGAGCGAAGCTGGCCACAACGAATCTGGGGCAGGCAGATCCCAGCTGTCACTGCAGCACCAGAGGGTGATAATCTGCGTTCAGGAAGAGGAACCAAAGTGCCAGAGGAGAGTCTGACAACCCTTCACGAAGTACTGCGAGAAATGGACAAGCCAATGCGTGACCAAGAGCTGCTGGTGTTGCACGTAGTTCTGACTGCTCCGTGATGCTTAGATGTACTGTTGCAGAGTGAAGGTCCAATGCGCACCGGGCACAGAGAGATCACAGAGCACTCGTCCTTTGCTGATAGCATCATGCAAACAAATCCAGATAATTTTTTTTTCTGTTGTCAGGTGAGTGAGACACGAATTTCCAGCAATACCCCATTCGACCCATCTTTTCAGCTTGCGACCCATCTTTTCAGCTTGGCCTGGCGCCTTAAAGTCGTACCTCTCCTAAGCACCTTGCGACAATGCGCCGTGACACCGAACGATCCCGCTCTGCAGACCACATCATCGCTAAGAAGCAAGAAAGTCTTGGCAAACATCCGCTGCTACTGTTCTACACTCTTTGTCTTTGTTGAACTTCCCTTCCCAGTCCTGCGCAAATCTTGTCGACTCCCGAAGCCTTGCCTAATATCTCGAGGGCTGCGAGTTGTGCCGCACATGATCAGGATTTCCAAGATGCATGAAGGTGTTCGGACTGCTTTGCTCAAGTTCATGGAGGCGAGGACGTTAGACCGATTTACGAAGCAGACGGACATCAAGGAAGTGTGACTGATATTGCAACGAGGAGAGGCGATCCCTGGAGAAGCCAGTGCATCGTGAACCGGTGTACGCTGTTGGTTCAAGCGCCTCTGTTGCAATGTGAGAATCAGTTGCTCGGTGGCTTTGCAGTGGTTTCGAAGCCTAACACTGCAGCCGGCAGAGTATCAGGCTGCATGCGACTTCGAAGCTTTCGAGACTCAATTGGTCGCGAGAAGTTCAGCGTCCAATTAGATGTCGACTGCTTGAGGGCATACACCCGTCAGGCGCAGACTTGAAGCAGAAATGAAATCAACTCTCGTGCTGGCTGCTCTCGTACGCTGCGTGACAGGTGCCGCTGGAGACTGCCGCTGAGCAAAAGCTCAGTAGACCTGCTCCGAATAATCAGATACACATCCGCAATTCTCTCTGCATCTTGTCGGGTTGACCCTTCCCTAGAGTCCTAGAGTTTCCGTACGACTTTGAGGCCATCGAACATCAACTGGTGCTGTCTGACTTGAGAGACCATCTGCTGGAGGCAACCGGGCACTGTAGCGCCCTTCCCGTCCGAGTCGAGGAGTTGGATCGCTTGTCCACGCATTTGAATGCAGGCTGAAGCATCGTTCTGGAAACCGCCCTTCAAGATCTGCCAAGTTTTCCAAGCCGTCACTTTGACCGCGGTGCTGCGATTCAACCCTGTTGGATGGGATGTTGAGCTGAAGTCGAGGCTGACGTCTGTCTAACAGCGAAGGTACTCTCATCTCACACCACTACAGTTTGCACGCTTGGCCTCAGCATCTTCGTTCAGATGCGAGCATCGGACCCACTGCAAAAGTTTCTGTAGGTCACAAAGTATGGTCCGACGCATTCTGACGCTCTCATGCTGTGTGACCGCTGCGAACCGCACTTTTCAGGAATGGATTCCGAATGCTTACTCTCTCACGTCGCCAGTGGGGCACCTACCTGCACAGGCTCAAGGCCAGCAGCTTTGAAACGTGTCGAAACTCTCCTCAAGGTGATGGGGTTCGATGAGACGGTGGCGCTTCGCCACCGATTGATAACTGCAAGGGCTACTTCTTGGGCGATGTTGCGTCAAGCGTGGGTGTCTTGGCAGAGTCGCTGATGTTCAAGGTGCTGTCGGTTAACGCTGTTAACACCCAGCAGCGGTTGGACCAGCTTCGGGAGGTGTGGGGTTTGACCTGCGGGGTCGTGTGTGTTCGGGATGCAAGCTGGTGGTTGCAATGAAGAATTCAAGTACGCTGCTGCACTTGCGTCGGCAACAAGGTCCGCAGGAGTAGGTCTCTTTGCGACGAGAGGTGCGGAAAGGGATACGAGACTTTTTGTGTCTTGCTTGGAAACCATGTGCTCGAATGCGCATTTGCCTCGCGAATAAGATGAACGAATTCCGGCTAGTCTTTGAATAGTTTTCGAAAGAGGCCCCTAGAAGAGTGGAGGATGCTTCGTTGTTTACAAATCCGGCTTGGCCAGACGGAGCAGCTGTTTGTGCCGAGGAGTGAATAGCCGCGCCTGGTGACTTGTGAGCGGTGCTGCATCACTGAGGTTGCTCTCTTGCAGGCGAGAAAGCTGGTGGCCAAGTCTCAGATCATGTGCATGTGCAGGGTCGAGTGGCCGATTCAATTGTCGTAAATGCTCAGGCACAGCATGACGGCAGGGGATGCATCAGTTTATGTCGACAAGGCCTCTTGCATTCCAATCAAGATGGTCTAGTGTATTCTGCGCGCCTTCAGAGCTATTATGCGTGTCATATCTGTCCCCCCATGTTCGCATGCAACTTTGCTTTGGGGAATGTAACGTGAACGTGCGCGTCGTGTGGTTGGCATGTTCGCGAGGCACGGGAGGAGCTTTTACGAAGGCGCCTTGTCCAGGCCACAACATGCGTGGAGCTGACCCAAAAGCAGGACGGAACCATTTCTCCTGCTGCGTTTGCTCCTCCCCCTTGGCTAATATAGCCTAATATAGCTACCATTGCTCGTGCTACTGCTACAGCTTTTGTTGTTGCTGCTGTTGCTGATTCTGCTGCTGCTGCTACTGCTACTGCCTGCCACTACCTGTTACTACTGGGTTCTTTGAGCATTCGTGCCAGGAGCCGGCATCAAAGACATCCGGCGAAGGAATGCAGAACCACCTCTGTCGCAAGAAATGCAGAGGTTCGGTGTCGTGCATGCAGCAAATCTGGCCACAGCAGGGTTCCAAAGTGCTGCCAGGTCCCAATTCAACATGTTTGACAGCAGCGGCATTGCGAGTGCACACTGAAGCTTGCTTCTTGCCATGATGCAGCCGGTGTGAACTGGCACTCACGGACCTGCAATGTGAGAGCAGCATTCATGTATTCCACTTGAGGTGCCGCAAGACCTTGTTCTGATCGGCCTTTTGCGAATCTTGCGGAAACGTTGGGTGATGACACGTGACTTCTAGGATCTTCCAGGTTTGCAGTGCAGTGTGCTCTGTGTTTGGTCGTTGTGCCGTTTCCGTTGTGACCGGCAAGATCCAGACACATCTGGATGTTGCATACTCTGCATCAGACGAAAAAGGACAGCTTGCAAGCTTGGTCTCTCGGTCACTCCCTCTCTCTCTCTCTCTCTCTCTCTCTCTCTCTTTCTCTGTAAATCTGCATATAATATGTTGATACTATATACACATACAAAATTAGGATACTATTCATATGTGTGTGTATAGCACTGTTTGATGATGATGATGATGATTCCCGATTCGGCCGGCAAGAACCTTGAAGAATCAGGAGACCTTCCCTTGGAACCTCTGAAGTGGAGCTTTGGAAACAGCACGTTGCTTCAAAACCCTCAGAGAACCAAGGCCTTGAAGCACTTTAAAGCCTTCTTACATGCTAAATCCAAACTCAAACCCGTACCCTCGCCTCCACTCGTGAGGGTGTTGGACATTCACATGGTGCATGTTCCGGGGTGCGGAAATTATTCCGGGGACACGCCCATACTCGATACCCTTTCCCCCAGAACCGAATCCTGTTATCGTTCAGGGCGGAAGGCCAAAGCCATTATCTGAAGGCTGCGAATCCTCACAAATAGAGTGCGGGCTTTTGGAATGCTGTCGTCAAATCTTTCAAGCGACAGTGCTTCAAACCAAAGTCCTAGGACTGTTCCCGAACCATCTTGAGCCTAAACCAGCCGAGACACAATTCGCCCCGTACAATTTCGATCGACCTGACGACGACAATGAATTCCGCGGCCTTGCTACATCTTTGGACGTGCAGGAGTAGGGACAATCCCCAATGTGGTTCAGGCTGGCTACCCTCTGGAGCCTTCCAACACTCTCGAGACGCGCGAAGCACGGGATAGCGGCTCAGTTGGTAAACTCGTGTGAGCACATTGCCTCAGAATTGCACGAACGACACTCACGAAGCTTTGTCGAAGTCAATCAGGAGTATCAGGAAGATGTGCCTCCAGTACAGTCTGATCTGTGCGAGCAGGGACCTTGACATAAGAACCTGGTCGGAATGCACAACATCATCTGCTCACTGCAAAGGCCTCCGAAACTGGAAGGCCACACGGAGGACAGATGGACATGGACTCCTTGGCTCCAAGTTCCTGCTTGAATCCTGCATGGGCTTCAGCAAATCTTTTGGTCGCCCCTGCAGCTGCAGGACATCCGCCTCAAACGATACAGCGTTCGGTGTGAAGGGCGTTCTGGCTTCAGATTCCCATGAGCAGATCTGCTAGCAGTGGCCCATGATCTTTGTCCCAGGCTGGCGTGTGCGATCGGCACCGTCGCTGAGCTCCAAGGCACGGCATCCAGAGAGCCTCTGCAAACCGTCGACTGCAGAGCTTGCTCTGACTTCGCAGGTAATAGGCACAATCGCGCATGGCACGGTTGTGCTCGGCGAGGACTGTGGGCGGTTCCCATTGCAATTCTGGAGTCATGCGCAGAGCGCTTGTTCCATGTGGCATGAATCCAGACACTAGGTCAAGCTCTGTGCAGCCCTGTTTCATGTTCCCTGTTGGTGCAGGATTGTGCTGGGGAGATACTTGCACAGGGGATGTCCGGCACGATGCCGCGTTCCCAGAAGCTATCCCTGTTGCGTAGCACATTTGTGTGCGGAATGACAACCCATTGCTTTCATCAATCACCGATCCGCCATTTTGGTATAAGCTTCGAATTGAGACTTTGCTCCTCGAGTTACTGTGAAGCTGTGGCTAGACGGCGAAACATCTCTGGGTTTGAGTTCCTCTGTGAGGGCAGTATCGCAGCCTTCTCTGACAGTGCATCAATTCCTCCGAGCATGTTTGCACAGTTTCCTGAGGAGGTGCGTGATCCCGAAGTGATCTACTTGGCACAGTCGAGAACAAGAGTGTGCCCCGTTACATCGAGTCCAATAACTGCAACAATCCCACCAGTGGCAGCTATGTCCACCCCGATTTCATGAATTGCAAGTGGGTGGTCCCCGATTTGATTTGCCGCAAGTGGTTCCAAGGTGTGTACGCATGTCCCACGAGCTGTTGGAATCAACACGGTAACACCTTCGATGGGGCAATGCGAGCTGCAACACCACTTCAAGAACAATTCCGAGGCGATCGACCTCCGTTTGCATACGAGTAGATTAGTCGTGCCGAGGCTGCCGACTACATTCTCACTGCGATGGCAGATTTTCGCTTTCGAGAAATCCGAAAGTGGCGATTTGGCACAATTTCACGATTTACTACGGCTACCAGACCTGGGATAGCTCCGAAGATACGGTTCGTGTTCGAGCCGAAGAAGAACCCCGGTTGGCGCAACAGAGGCCCTTCCGCGGACATTCTCCGCGAGGACGGGGGCTTTCCCCTCGCCGATCAACCTCGAGACCTCCTGCAGTCCTACGGGACCTCCGCTAGCATCTTGGTCAGACACAGACACGACGAGGTCGAGTACACCGTGTCGGAGCTCCATTCCCGAAGCGGGAACGATGGCTACTTGAGTGGTCCTGCGAGGAGACGGACTCCGATGCATCCTCGGCCCTCGGTTTGGAGCACCCCGATCCTCTTTCCGCCACGGCGACGGAAAGGGTCGAGGGCACAGGAGTTCTACGACGAGAGCCACATCACCAGCCGAACGATGGATGGCCCAACAGGCGATACACCGGTCATCGTCGAGATCGATGACATGGTCCCAGCTACTCCTCCGATGGCTAGTGCGATCCATCCAGTGGACGACGCTCTGTGGAGTTAAGTGGAGGATGAGGCGCAGCAAGCGAGCACTGCGAGCAGCCACGCAACAGGCCCAGGATGACCCCTGTGGCACCGAGTGGATCAACCACACTTTCCCCGAGTCCTCGAGACCTGCAACCCCTTCACCATCGAGGTCTGCTTGCACCGAGGTGATTCAGGTCAAGACCAAGCCCAAGGCGCCGATCAGGGTCAACTTGACCCGCGACCCGTCCTCGAGCACTTCGTTCACACTGACAGTTTCACCGAATGTTATCCCTAACCTCGAGAGCAGGTTTGCCATCGGTGTTAGTGCGAAAATGTCCTCTGACCAGCACGTATCCATCTGTTGAGGCCTGGGCCTTGATCTTAGCCCCGATGATCTTCGAACCTTGGTTGGACGGTTCTGTATTCAGTGCTGCGATAATGAGGGTCAAAGGGGTGGGCAAACATCAGCCACTCGACTGTTTTGTCGCGGCACATTGGACATAGCACAATCGCCGCGGACTTGCGCATCGACGAAGATATAGCCGTCTACAGTGGATGAGAATCGAGTTACCTCTCTCGACCATCACGACTAGGGCGGCTGCGAAGATCATGGGAGACATAATTTTTGCAGCCAGTACTGGCTTCTCGGATGTACCGAGCATCGATAAGATACATCGAGCCCTCCGAGGGAGAGACTTGTAAGGTTTCGTAGCGTTGGCCTGCGATGGGAGGACGCGACTATCAGACTACCACCGATGGGAAACGGTCGGTCTTCCTAACATCGAAAAAACATTATTGCATGAAATACGATTGAAACTTTCGATGAACCCAGTCAGGTTCCGAAGAGAGTCCGAATCGCAGAACAGGCCACCGAAGCGGAAACAGTTGGAAATGGGAGCGCATAGCAGGGACCTATGCTTTGCCAATGAAAGAATCTGCTGTCCTGAAGATTCTTGGCACATGAGCTTGTCCGGGAGGCCGGTTCCATCATTCCAACAGGACATGAGTATGCCCTCCAGCATTCTGCAGGAGGTCAGGCACTCAATCGTGGCTTTTTTTCTGTGGAAACGAAGATGTCGAGGCTTTGGACAGCATCACGGCTTTGTGGGTCAAAGTCACACGATTTGAGGCATGACTTTGTGCTGACACTGTTGAGAGAAATTTGCCGTTTGGTGTGTGTGCTCTGACATGATCTGCAGGCTCAGGAGCCTATGGGAGTTTCCGAGATCAAGCGTGATTCGGCAACAGGCGCGACAGCAGACGGCGGTACTGCTTGCAAACCCGTGCCGAGTCACACATTCCGAGGCGGTGGAATCTATTGTTTGCGACGCAATGCTATGGGCTACGGGTTGTACCAGGTCGGAACAGTGAAACGAGGGTGACGAGGGCTTGTGGGAGCCGATGATGCTCGTCGCAGTCAAGCGCTGAACCTCGAGATGGTCCTCTTATCCTCTTGCCAGAGGTGGGGGTTCAAGACAGTCCTAATATAAACAGCATGAAATACGTCGCCAGCAATGCCAGCACCTGGGACTCGAGCTACGCCTTGATGCCCAGCGTGCAGCCTCAGATCGAACGGAGGAGGGAAGCGATCAAAGCGCTGACTGCGGGTGTCTTGCTCATGCGTCGACATCTCTGCTTCTGCTTCGCTGAACGTAGGATGTCTCATTGACATGGAAACTGCTCGGCGCGGCAGAAACCGTTGGGCGCTTCTTTTCGTCGGCGGAGGATGAGGCACTCAGTGCAGGGCTGTGCAGCTGCGCGAAGAGGGCCTTGGCAAGCGTGAAGTCAGTTTCAACACAGGTCGGGATGAAGGAAGACATGCAGGCCGTGTCAGCGTCCTTGCGAAGACCGGAGGACTTGCTCCTTGTCTGCCTTGTCTGATGGCCACATGCGGCCAGCAGCTTGCTCAGCCCCAGGTTTGAGGTGAAGCAGCGCGAGCAACTGAAAAAGGTGAGCGACTTCTGAAGCTTCAGATGAGACGTTACGTTCATTCGTTTCTAGGCAATGCAAGTGGTGTCTCGCCATTGCAGGCAGTGGCTGCGCTGCGAGTTCCCCTTGCCGAGCTTCTTGCAAAGGCAATGAGTTTAAGGATAGTTTAAGGCAAGGAAGGCAGAGTCTGGTGCTGTTGACATGTCGGAGGCCAACGGCGAGGGACGCGCAGCTGATCTCCTCGCTGGCTTGCCAAAAGATGTGTCAAGGTCCTGCACGACGGCTCCCAGATATGTGCCTGGGACGCTTGCTGGTAGTGCGGCAGGCGGTTTTCGCGCTTGCGCTCCTCATTGATAGCGGCTACATCCGAAACAAATTCACTGGTTGCTGCAGCCTTAAAGAGAGGGTCTCGCACATGCCCCAAAGGGTGCAGCGAAGCTGCAAGCTGCTCCAGAAGCGGCGCAACGTGGTGCCGAGCGAGTGTCACCACGAAGTCCCCAGAATCGGGATATTGAAAAAGGATAAAGAAACGTCCACTACGATTTTTTCCTGGCGATTCGCTTTTCGAAGCGTTAATCGCAATTGAGAGTCTACGACGACGTTGGTCTTGGTATTGTTGTTGTGCGTCGTTTGCATCGCGGGGTTTGGGCTTGGTTGGCATAGGAGTGGTTGATTGCCAAAAACTGCGGCAAAACCCAAGTCCTAAAAGGCTGAGCCTTGGAAACACGGACTGACATAGGGGAGGGGGGGGAGCAGGGGCGGGGCGTGGGCGGCGGGGGCGGGGGCGGGGCGGCAGCGGGGGGGGGGGGGGGGGGGG